ATGCTTACCCTGCTAAACAACCTGTAGTATACAGGACAGCCCCCCACAAGAAAGAGAGAATTTACAGAGGGGAAATGACTTGTCAACTTGGTGAAGCACTGCATATGTAACAGACAAATCAGGTGGGTGAAATTGAATGCCATTCTAAGTCCAAGTAATTGATAGAGAAAAGTTGTAATGGAAGACCAGTCTGGACAGGAGTAAGTATACTGAGTTTGAGATAAAGTCACGGCCTCAGAATATATTGAGTCCATGTTGTCACATTTTCTATAAATACAAATGGCAAAAGTAATCTTAATATATATGATTTAAAAGTTGAAATTAACTATAGCCATATCCTCATCCTCAGTTGCCATCAAAGAACTAAATCTGGATGTGAGGCTCTGAAGGTGAAAGCAAGAAACTATCAGCAGTTTGGAGTCCTTTATAAAAATGTCTGGGTTGGTGGGAAGAGGGTAGTGTTTATAATAGTTGTATCTTGTATAAATATTTAAAGTTTGAAAAATCAGTTTCTTTTTACAGTTATTTTTCCAAGTTGAGTGTGATATATTTTTCATGTGTCACATCTCTGTAGGGTGTGTGTGTGTGTGTGTGTGTGTGTGTGTGTGTGTGTGTATGTGTATGTGTATGAGTTAGTAAAAAGAATCCTGCTCAGGCTCAGCCTGTACATATGAATTTCTTTTTTTGGTACTTCATTTACCAGTTTTTAGTTGGTCTGCTCTGCAACCTTAGCTGCTGCCTATCATGATGACTCTTTGTCATTGGAGTCTCAAATCTTTCTTGGTTTCTGAAGGAAAAAACGAAATTATATTCAGTCTGTTTAGTTTCACATATTCAGAATTACAGAATCTTGGAGTTGGAGGAGAAACTCTACCTCATCGAGTCCATTGGAATCATACCGTATTTGATTACTCCTGTGTTAGTCTCTAAGGCTACTGCCAGTTACCACAAACTTGATGACTTAAAGCACAGAAGTTTATTCTCATACAGTTCTGGAGGCCAGAAGTCCAAAATCGAGGCGCCATCAGGGCCACACTCCTTTCTTTGTCCTTTCCAGTTTCTGGTGGCTCCAGGCATTGCCTGGCTTATGGCTGCACAACGAAGCTCTGCCTTTACCTGCCCTCCTCCTCTTTTCCCTTTGTCTCTCCTCTGTGTTTCCTTATTATGATACTTACTAGATTTAGGGCCCATCTGAATAATCAAAAACGATCTCAACCCAAGATCCTTAACTATTTTAGACCTTTTCATCAAATAAGGTCACTTTCACAGGTCCCAGGGATTAGAATATGGACATAGGTTTTATGGAGGCCACTATATAACCCACTACATCCACTGAATACATGTCCATTGTTTGTGTTTGTCGCCCTTCTCTGCTTGGCTGCCTCTAACCAAGATCTTAAGGATTTTGAATAACTTTGTGGTGAAATCAATCTCCTATAATGTATATACCATCCACTTTGGTTCTCCCTGCTTGAAGCCATGCAGAACAAACAATTCTTTTTCTCTCTGAAATTCCTTCATTTGTTGTCCCTGAGACTTCTGTCCTCCAGGCCGAGCACCTCTGGTTCCTTCAACAATTTCACTCAATATTGACTCCTGTTCCCCTAATCATCATGGATGTGCTTCTCTAAAGCATGCAGAGTCAATAGAGAGAATATTGAATTTATTATTGAAGACCTAATACTGAGGCCATGTCTCTTCCACTTACCAATTAGATGACCAAGGCAAATCAGTTTATTTTAAATAACAATAATACTGACTTCTTCATTATTTCGCTACATACTTTTATAGTCAAATGAGATTGTTATAAATGTTCTTTAGAAACATCACCTTTAAGTAAAGATGCAGGTGTTTTTCTGTCTATTTGTAAAATACTTTCACTCCCAGAACTGAACATAGGTCTCCTGGTACAGTCGAAAGTGGTACAAAGTAGTTGTCACTGTCATGTTCCCTAGCTGAGCTGCTCTGCCTCTGTTACCAGAGCCTGGAATTGCATTCACTTTTTTGGTAGTCGTCTCATAATTCTTAACTCATATCGAAATTGTTCTGTGCTAAAGAGTTCCAAATCTTTTTTACAAATAACTTTTTTTTAAAAAAAATTCAATAAATATTTATTGAGTTTCTGCTAGTAGCAGTGCTAGACACTTGACAGAGAGGAAAAGAGGAACAAAATAAAACCTGTTTCTGGCCAGGTGTGGTGGTTTACGCCTTTAATCCCAACACTTTGGGAAGCTGAGGTGGGCAGATCATGAGGTCAAGAGATGGAGACCGTCCTGGCCAACATGGTGAAACCCCTAAAAATACAAAAAGTAGCTGGGCATGGTGGTGCACACCTGTAGTCTCAGCTACTGGGGAGGCTGAGGCAGAAGAATTTCTTGAACCTGGGAGACGGAGGTTGCAGTGAGCCAAGATCGCGCCACTGTACTCCAGCCTGGCAACAGAGCGAGACTCCGTCTCAAAAAAAGGAAAACTTGTTTCTGCCCTCTTGAAGCCTACGATATCATACGAGAGACACACATTAACCTAGTAATCACACAGTGAGTGTAAATTTACAATCTGAGACAGACTGGAAAAAGAAAGGGTTGCAAACTGACCTAAGCCAATTTGATAGTTCACAATGATACAACTGTTTACAGTAGATAAAGGTGGGCTCTGATAATTAAGATTGGAGGTCTGCAGTTCTCCCCACTAACCTCTTCACCGCCAGGTATTAGTTATGGTGACAGTAAGCCTCAGATGGAATTCTGTCACACACGTAATCTATTTATTGCTTTCTAATTCAGTGATTTTTCTACCATTTATAGAAAGAGCTACAAGATATGGTTCAAATAAGGCACTGCAAAGACAGTAGAGTCAGTGAATTTTCAATTTCAAAATTTAACTTAACTTGAAAATAGTATTAGCCATTTTAATTGGATATAGCACTAAATTGCATTGACTCTTCATAGGAAATATATAATTCATCCTCCAATTAAGAGTCCTTTTTGTGGTGTTATGGACCTGCTTCTGGTTTTACTCTAATGACTGCATTCTAATCTAAAGCTTCCACAGCTTGCTAATGTAATTCTCCAACTATATTGAAATGAAATTTCTTTGGTTCATATCTTGTGTCCTGATGATAGTAGGTTTCATCCTTTAAAATGGATTCCATTTTTCAAGACTGGTGGATCTATAAATCCGTGTACTTTTGCAAAGTAAGATGAACATGTGATAGTTATAAGCTATTTATATTATTCAACTTCAAGTGACCTATTAAGAATTTGAAAGCAATATGAAATGTAAATTCTGTCCTAATATTTGATCTTGTCTTTGCATTGCCTTTTTTGAATCATACCTTCTGGCTTTTTCTATAAATAAGTCCCACTGAAGTCATAATAAAGCCCAGTGTTGTGAAATCAATTTTTTAGGAATGTTGTAGCTTGATTTTCAATGTATGCTGATCTCAGTTTACTCTTGTAACATATAAAATGGTTTCTAGATTTATACCTTGAAAATGGAGATAGCTATGAGTTGGAGAGCTGTTTAGTTAGTCTACATATGAAGCTTATAGAATAACAGCTACACAGCACAGAGGTTTAGAACTATAGTAGATTTTCTCTAAAGTTGCCCCTGTTAGGTATTTGCAAATGTGTCCTTTCTTTGCAGGCTACCCCATCTGAATTTGAATGATTCCCAGACATCTTGCAAAAGCCTGGTGTTGCACTTTGCTTATCCTGAATTTGCTATGCTGTCATTTTTTTGCATCTCAATTTGAGGCCAAACCACATGTCCTAGTTTATTTTTTACTGTTTCAATTAAATATAAAGCTCTGTCTTCTTGAAGGGTGTGTGAAGCATTTGGTGTTCCTTTAGCAGAGAATAAATACAGCTCATGACCTTGCTCACTCCCCGGTGCCTATAATTTTATAGCGTAACAGATTTACCTTTTGGATATTATATAGCTAGCAATTCCTGAGAATTTAATATAAAGGCTTTAAATTCTATTTCCTTTATTTTATTTTTCCTAGAAAATAATATCCGCCAGGCTTTATAGAATGTATCTTTTTCTCAGGCAATTAAAAGACAATTGAAATTAAGACTAGCAATTGTCACCTATCATTCATTTCAATAAGATTATTTTATTCTTGTGAATAATGGTATATCACGAAACTAAGGAAGGTGAAGTTTTCTTCTTGACCCTGAGTAGTAATTGATCTGTTTGTAAAGAAATCTGTGTCAGTTACTAAAATTTTTGCTTGGTCTTGAGAATCGGAAAACAATGACTGGACTATAAGTATGCTCTAACTTTTCCTTCTTCATTTTCAGGTATAAAGAAGGGGAATAGTGAGGGGAGTTACTCTCTAAAATAACTCATTATCTTTCTGAAGATCCAGATGGCATGCCTTTGCTGCTCTAGTGAGGCAGGTTAAAATGGAAGGTCGTGTATGAGAGCTTTATGGCACGAGCACATTGCCTTAGAGAAGTTGCATCCAAGTAGCCATCTCTGTAAATATGAATGAATATTTTAATGAATTTTGGCTCCTATTAGCACTGTTGATTTCACTGGCCACCTTAAAAGAAACAAATCTTATATATTGTTTCTAAGTCTGATTTTTTTTTTCCCCTTCCTAATCTTCCTCTCCCCTTTAGTAGAAGTTGAGTTGTCAGGTCCAAGATATTGGAGGGAAAATATTCTATGATCTTAATCTTAGCCAAGGTGGCCAGTTTATGATGTGTAAATAGGAACCAGCGGCCTCAACTCCTTGGGGTGGGTGGGTCACTTTCTTAAACATTAGTTCCTTGTTCTGTTACCTATTCACTTTTTCTTTTGAAAGAAGGCAGCCATTATTCTGACTTAATTAATATTATGAGAGGTTAGTAGATTGCAATGACTGTAACTAGGTGACAGTCCAATTCTTCAGATGTTTTTGCTGTATCTGAGAAACGGTAGCCTCTGTCGACAACTTGGAGGTTGTGTTTACTCAGTTTTTGAAAGTTTCTGATCCTCTTTACCTTTCTTAGGTTTCCACTGTATCCAAAAGGAGGGGAGAAGTTGCAATTTGATTATGGTGTCTATCTTCTGAACAAAAATATAGCACAGGTAAGTCTCTATTCTTCACTTTTCTCCTACTTCCCATGTACAGCCTATTTCCTTAGATTGTGAATCCTTTTTCTTTATAAATATGTACTGAGGTTGACCATTTTATTTAACCAGTTATGTTAGTAATACATGGCTCTTTTTTTGACCACAGTCTTTTTCCAAGGCCTTAACATGACTACAGAGAAGCAATGAATACAAATTGGAATTCTCCTGCTAAACTCAGAATCTCTTTCTGTGTTTTTACTTGCTGGTAGACTGTACTTGGATGTGTGGGCTTTATAATCTCTTGCCTCTGCAGCTTGACCAACTGTAATTTTATTTTCTTAGACTATTTCTAGGGACTCATTTTGCATTGTTGTTTATGGAGTAAAAGTTCAATGCCTTTGCAAGCACTTCATGGTCTCCTCACTTTATTATTCAGTCTGTCTTGGATTTCTGTGGCACTCTCAATATCACATCAGTTAGTATCCCACTTGAATAATATCTTTCCACTTGCCATAGTAAGACTATCAGATGCGTGGGTTTGTATTTTCCTGAAAGAAATATGTAGCATTTCTTTAGCACTTTTGGCCGTCCTTGAAGATGTAAACATTCCGTAAGTTCTAGTTACAAAGGAAGACTAGCTTCCTTTGTTTATTTTTATAAATAAGTGCTTTGTTTTGTTTTCACTGGACATCCTTCAAATGGAATATCACATGATGAGTGTCCACAATTTGACTGTTATTTAAAGACATCATGAGCTGTATCCTCAGACCTTTTGGTTTTACAGAAGTAATGATTTGCGATGATTTTGTTTTTATGAGCCATTTATCCACATGACTCTAAAGACTTGCTGAACGTTCTCTTATTAATTTCTGATCAGTGTAGAATTATTCCTCTATGTAGTGTCAGCTGCCATTCTTCCCCTCAACCAACCTCAGTTTAATGGTGGGGATTTAAAAAAATTTTTTTTTTTAATTGAGATTGTTCTCCTTTTCTGAAATTGAGTCAGATTTCTGGATTGCCATCCTCAATTTATCATACTTCATCCCTCACGCTCATTGCCCTCTCGACCATACTACGTTTACTGTTACTTCTGTTCCAGCTCCAGGAAAGTGGCCCTCTGACAGTCTCTGGCCCATGACTCACCTTTCCATATGCCATTCTTCCCACAACCAATGCTTGACCACTCTCCATTTTTGGCAGACAAGTATTTCAGTCAAAGAAGCAGGGCTTTAATTCCAAGGCTGCCCAGATCCCACTGTGCTGAACACAGTTCTGTCATACAATGGAAAACACAGTGATTAGACAGAACTGGTCAAAAGTGTTCAGACTAAGGCCGGATGGGTGGCTCATGCCTGTAATCCCAGCACTTTGGGAGGCCGAAGTGGGTGGATTGCTTGTGGCCAGGCGTTCGAGACCAGCCTGGGAAACATGACAAACCCCTATCTCTACTAGAAAAATACAAAAGTTAGCCAGGCATGGTGGCATGTGCCTGTAATCCCAGCTACTTGGGAAGCTGAGGCATGAGAATCTCTTGAACCCGGCAGGCAGAGGTTGCAGTGAGCTGAGATTGTGCCACTGCACTCCAGCCTGGGTAACAGAGCAAGACTCTGTCTCAAAAACAAAAACAAAAAAAAGTGCTCAGACTAAGACTGCACTAAGGAAGAAGTAAATTGGAGATTTCCTCCAGCGAAGTCAGCCGTGGTGGAAAGAGCACACGGACACTACAGGATCGAGCGTTTGAGGGTAAAATTGACATCATTTAGTAGAACCAAGTTCTGATTTGAGTTCAGAACTTCTTTTCTTGCCCTATTTTCTCTTTCTTGCTCTAGGCACATAGGTCCTAGAGTCAGAAGGCTGTTGGAAGCTTCATGGTGAAACTTGCTTCTGCTGAAATGCCTGGATTTCCTCATATATCCGAACTTCAGACATACACACGTTGTACACACACGTGCACACACACACTTCTTTCTTCTCAAGGGCCCAAAATGATGGTATACCAAAGGATGGTATAAAGTATTGCTAAGAATACTACAGCTTGCTTTGAGAGCAAGACCAAGATGGAGGCTATGTGCAGCGGAAAACTTAGCAAAGTCAGCCCTCCATATCAGACTCTTAACTCTAGGACCTGCCTGGTTCCCACTTCCCAAGAGGCCTTTGACTTTGTTGTTAACTGAACCAAGGCCACAAGTATGCTGACCTAGTTTTACTCATTTGAGAAATGGATTGCTTATAGTAACTGTGTATCTTCTCCAGCTTTATATATACTCTTTGAAAAATTGAGAGAGAGAGAGAGAGAGAGAGAGAGAGAACAATCAGAGAGAGAGAGGAAAAAAAAATCAATAGATTTAACTACTCTGAATCCATAGGGAGCAAGTATCTTCCTCTCTGGATTTTCTTTTTTTAATCACACTGGAGGCAGTTTTAAAAGGAGGGGACTGCAAACTTCTTTAAAACTGGCTTTTTTATGTTTCAGAATTTATTCAGCAAGCCCTTTTAAAGCAATTAGAAACTTTTAGAACAGTTGTGACCTTTCACTTTTTTTTGCTTCAGCTCTGTCTGTTCCATCTCTCGCTGTTTCTCGGGGAAGCTTTCATTTTGTTTTTGACCTTACTGCCATCACTTTTTCACATTTTGATTTGTAACAAATAAAGAACCATTAATTATTATGGCTCCTAACCAAGCATTATAGCAATCAGATATTTCCAGCTTTTGAAGGTTTATTTTTATAGACATGTAGACTAATACATGTTGTCAAAGGGGAGTTTGTCTTCTCAGCCAGTCTCATATGTACCCCATCTCTCAAGATGTGAACAAATCATACTATTAAAATGGCCTCACCTCAGTAATTTATAAGCCACATTAGCGGAGGTGGATGAAAGCATTGGCATGTGTTAAAGTGCCAGAGAAAAAGGAGTGAAGTCATTTAATACTGCATCCATAACTTGGTTGAGGATTTGAATAGTCAATAGGACCTTTCATCACAACCAGAAGTAGTAGTAGAATCACTTCTTTGGTAGAGGAAATGACAGAATTTAGTAATATTTGTTACTTCAGTATTTGGGATCAGTCCAGCCCAAGTTTTGAAAGCACAAGCTTAGAAAGACAGGCCTTCAAATAGAAATCCTCAAGTGTTGTTTGAAGAGCTGAGAGCACTGCTGAGGCCTGCTTGCCCTCTTCATGTCACTGCTGTCTAGAGGTGTGTGTGTGTGCTGGATTAAGTACTGTGAGTGAGTGAAGCAAAATGCCTTGTTTTCAGCACCATTTATTAATATTTGTCAAGTGCCAGCCTCTTCGGTTAGAAATAGCCTTCCTTGTTGGCCAACATGTAATGCTATAGGAATGGACCTGTCAAAATTCAGGTGCAGTATAATTGACGTTGACTTTAAAAACCAGATCCTGCCATAATTTCAGTTAGTTCATAAGTACATTATATTAGAATTTGTATAGAGAACAGAAGTTCACTTTTAATCCTCAGAGCATAAAAATTAAATGTAAAACAGAAATTATAATACTTTTACCTTACATTTGTGGAGAGCCTTATGGTTTGTAAAGTACTCATGCGTATATATATTCACTTGATCCCCATCATCACACTGCAAAGTAAAAAGGGCAGATACTATTAAGTGGATTTGAGGACAGCTCAGCTTTTGACATTTGTCACTCCAGTGTAGTATCACATAATTTGACAGGTGTGGTAGAGATCCCTTTACTTTTATACACTTCACTGTTCTATATATTTCCATTCTAAAAGTACACCAAATCAAAGAAGATGATATTCCCAGACGGAAAAGGAAGCAAACATTTTTTGAGAATGGAGACAATAACTATTTTGCACATCATGATATTTCTGTTAGCAAGCACAATGCCAGAAACACTGTAAGTTCTAAAGAAATTAATAATACGTGATAGGTGATAAAACACCATTACACAAGTTAAGAAACTAAGATCTAGAAAAGTTAAGTGACTTTAATGAATTTAAAAAATTGTGACACACACACACACACACACAAGTGGAATATTATTCAGCCTTTGAAAAGGACATACTGCCGTTTGTGACAACACGGATGAACCTGGAGGACATTATGCTAAGTAAAATAAGCCAGACACTGAAAGACAAAGACTGTCTGATCTCAATCATATGCAGAATCTTAAATTTAAAAGTTGAATAAACAGAACAGAGAGTAGGATGGTGATTTAGTGGGAGGAAGGGGAGGAAACAGGAAGAAGTAGGCTAAACGGTATACAAATTTGCAGTTAGGTAGACTGCATAAGTCTGGAGATGTAATATACTGAATAAGGATTACAGTTAGTAATATTGTACTGAAAATTTGTGAAGAGACTAGATTTCTACAGTTTTTATCACACACACCCATGAATATGTTAATTTGTTTGACTGCTGTAATCATTTCACTGTGTATATGTATATCAAAACATGATGTATACCTTAAAACATGTTGTACCCCTATAATGAATTTATAAATTTATAAAATATAAAAATTTTTTTAAAGTTAGGTGACTTGCTTAAAATTCATTAGTTTATTCAGCAGTATTTGTTGAGCATGTACTGCATGCTGTGGACACTGAGTTAGGTTGCAATGGTAGAGCAGTGAATAAGTTACACAAAATCCCTGATTCCTGCCTCCTTAATAAGCTAGACACAAAAGGACAAATACTGTAGCATTTCGTTTATGTAAATATCTATGAAAGGCAAACTCATAGGGTCAGAAAGCCAGATTAGAGGGCTGGGGGAATAGGAGAGCTATTGCTTAATGATTACAAAGTTTCTGTTGGGGCAATGAAAAAGTTTTGGAAATAGATGATGACAGTAGTTATATAACATTGTGTATGTACTTAATGCCACTGAATTTTACACCTAAAAATGGTTTAAATGGCAAATCTGAGTTGTACACTTCAAATGGGTGAATTGTATGTTATGTGAATCATATCTCAATAAAACTGTTTTAATAAAAGAAAAAGAAAGATCCCTGCCTTGTTAAGCCTATAACCTGGGCCTG